ATCTGCTAACGTTATAAAACTTTATAACTATCTCAATCTATTAGTGGTGGTTCTTGATTGCCAGTCCCATCTTATCGATGGAATTTGAAGTGTTTTTAAGAGTTGCTTGTAGGTAACACAAAACACAAAAGTGTCCACATATGCGCAGCCTCTAAAGAAAATTTCCATCAAGTCTTAAGTATATTAGTCAGTGAATGTGTCGTTGGTTTAACAGCATACTTTTGAAATATGTTTTAAATTGAATTAATTTCAATCACAACTAAAATATTAACGCATTTATTTATTTGTTTGCAGGTTTCCATTTACTGGACCACGACCACGCGTAAGTACGGAATTGTTACTCAAAAACGCTTACTTTATGCTAGTTTACCTCACAACAGCTAACCAGCTAATACGATTACGTGGACTACTAATAATAAAGTAACCTTATAATTTATTTACCACATCTGCTTTCCACTGCTGCACTGGTACTATAGTTCGTTCGCGCATCAGAAACTCAGATATTTAGGAGAAACTTTTGATTTTAAGCTTTTAAATGTATTTTTATAAATTCATGAAACTTAATCTTTTAAAATGTAATTTGTTTGAATCTTTACACCTCTGTGAATATACACTTTTACTCTGCAGTTGCACTGATGATTCACTGCATTCTTAACGCGAAGGAACTATAGTTTTGCCTGTGTTAGCTTCACATAAATCATTGTATTTTATTGGAGTTACACGTACGAGTAAATATTACCACTACGGACTGGGCCGACAATGGGCCAATAAAAATATAATCCTTGATAATATGGGATTTTTTATGGGACAGAGGGAAAACGAGCAGACGGATCACCTGATGGTAAGTGATTACCGTTACAGTCCCGGGGGTGTTACAGGTGCGTTGCTGGCCCTTAATGTGTAATACGCTCTCTTCTTGACAGTTTGTTAGTCGTATCGGTCCGGAAATACCGCAGACAACAGTTCATACCACAGTTTGGTTGTACGGGGCAGGAAGTTTCTAGATAAACGTACTGTTGTGGACTGCCAACCATCTTAAGTGATGGGGGTGGTATGGAAATGTTGTCGGGTAGATCGATGGCGAAAAGTGGTGGCAGAGATAAGTCCGGACAATTCATGCGATAGAAGACGCACAGTGAAGATACATCTCTAAGCAGCGCCAAGAGGTCAAGCCGATCCGAAATGTCCTGGCAATCAACGATTCGAGCTGCTCTAAGTTCAGGTCAATGAGGTCCAGAGGGAGAAGCTGGTACTGGGGCGCACGTGCCCAAAGATGAGAACAGTATTCCATAACATTCCATGAGTCGCAGGCCTAATATAGTTGCAGGCGATGGACCGGAGTGAAATACCGTCTCGCTCGATCTATTAAGCACACCAAGCTTCTTCGAGGCTAATTTAGCCTTATCTTCTAAGTGACCACGGAACTGAACTTCACTCAATATGTCGACACTAAGGATTCCGATATTGGTTGAGGCAGTTAGGGGAGTGCTCTCGAAACAGCGAGATTTGACAAACGACATCTTTTTGGCGGTGTACGCGCAAACTTGTGTCTTTGTAGGGTTAAACTGAACCAAATTGCGTCGACCTTATTTTGAGACCTCTTTTAAGGAGGTTTCAATTTCGAATACAAGTTTGTTACGGTTCTCAATGACGTACGTTCTCCCGAGAGATGTTTGCGCGGCCGGTATAGGAGGCATCAACCGTGCTGTCGTCCGCATAACAATGAATGCCGCTCATTCGCAACATATCATTGAACTAATATTATAATTGCGAAAGTTTGTATAGATGTCTGGATGTTTGTTACTCTTTCACGAAAAACTACCGAACGGACTTTGATGAAATTTTACAGTATAATTGTTTATAACCTAGAACATACTGGGTGGAAACGATAAGTGATCTCATTCGATTATTTCTAAACTATACAAGATATAAAAAAAAAACTAGTTACTGATCCTGAAAGTGCTTCATGAGCTCTATCAAACGGTACCAATAATAGGTTAAAGATTAAACTGGATCTATCCGAAAATTCAATGATTCCGGCTTCCATACCTTTGGTACAGCCTCATAATATTACAAACTACAAAATATATCGTAAAACTGGTTACTGAACCTAAAAGTGCTTCACGAGCTCTAACCAATGGTATCAATATTAAGTTACAGAATAAACTGGATCTATTTAAAAATTCAATGTTTCCATCTTCCATACTTTATTACTATTTAGTACTATCACAGATGGCACTCATCTCTTGATAATATTATAGCAAATTTTATAGCAAGGAAAGTCTAAAACTAATGTTTTCCATAATTAATTTTAAATAAGAATGCAATTTACGAGTTTATTTTAAGTTTATTATTTAATTTTTTTAAAAATACACTTCTAACATTCTGTGTTTGGCATACATTTAGTATGGAAGCTGGAAACATTGAATTTTCAGATAGTGTCCGTTTAATCTGTAACCTGTTATTGGTACCATTTGAAAGAGCTCGTGAAGCACTTTCAGGACCAGTAACCAGTTTCTCGATATATTGTATAGTTTAGAAATAATCGAGTGAGATCACTTATCGTTTCCACCCTGTATAGACTACAATTTATGACAATCTGTCACAAACTGAATTTCACGCGGGTGAAGCCGCGGGCAAAAGCTAGTCATTTATATGCAGAAGGAAGAGCGTAGGCGTTAGCACACAGCCCTGGGGGACACCAGCATTCACAGACAGAGTCTGAGCATTTACCGTCGACTACGACCTTTATGCTTCTGTCTGTTAACAAACTAGCCACCCATCCGCATAATCTCTCGGGTAGCCCATAGGAAGGGAGTTTCGAAAGAAACGCTTTATGCTAAACCCAATTTGTTTTCATTATGTTTCATTATTTTTTTCAGCTTTTATTCTATTTATTCTTTTATGCATGTATCACACAAGGTCTACGTACTCGCCACAATGAGAAAAGAATTAAAAACCAACAATAGGTGAAAGTTAAAATCACAAAATTGATTGTATTATCTCCTAAGTAAAGTCGTAGATGGTAGAACATACGAGTACACCTTGATTTAAGGAATCTAAATTTAAGCTTTGAACGTTACCACCCTGACCACCCTTAAGTCATGTTTGTTTTATAGTGAGTTTCAAAACCAAAATTAAAACTTTGCCCGTTTTAGTAGGGGCTCGCTAAAAGATTTTCAAAGATCTCGTTCCATGTTTTTTTGGAAGGAAACTAATGAATTCTCGTCGGTATTTTGAAATTGTGAGGTGATGATTTAAGGGTCTGTTTTCCTCCGGCTCGTTGGGTGTCGTGTATGAAATGATATGCCTTAGAATCTAAAGCATAAGTAACTTGTGATAATATCTAAAGTTTAGATAACCATTCAAAAATAGGCAAGGTTTTTTATAAGTTATAATTACAAATTACTATTATGTTGACCCCTCGAAGTAAGCTTATGTATGTATGTGCTTGTGTCAAACAAAAGGCAGTTCACCACAATAGTCCAGCGCTTGATCCTTGAATCTATCTCGACTTGGTTGTCCGATGCCGACATTATTTACCTATATTAATTTTATTGTTGTGTTTGTGCATTTCGATTTCCATATTTACTTATCATCGCGGACGCGTGATAATAAATCTTTCTTTGACAGATCGAAATCTGAGCGGGTGAAGCCAAATAGAATATGCCCTTGGAGATTTTTGACATACGAGTATTATGTATTTATTTAAAACCTTTTTGAAAAATTTTTTTTTTATGCATTACATGGCAGGTATTTGACCACAATCGCACCTGATGTTAAGTGGGATGCAGTCTAGGATGGTGCATATCTTTAGTATTACAACCAAAATGACAATATAATAAGTTCCGAAACTACATTATTTGGGCGGTACGAAATTCGCCGGCCATTTAATTGTTTTAATAAAATAATGAAGTATTCATTTTGGAACCGAACCAAGTTTACGAAACATCTGTGATTTTTTCTTACCATTTCTTATACTTACTACTTTGATTGTATTATCTTTAGATTCCATTTTCTTCTGATCTCTTGCTTGAACTTCCATGAATGATAATAGTTTTTGCCATATAATTAATTTACTACGAGATAATAAATTTCATCTAAAATAACTGATGATCAACAAACATTTACATGAATGAGCAAAAACTATTATCAAGTGTTCCACCTTTTACTGCAACGAGGTAGTTACTTGCCATTTGGAATCCTTCCGCGACGTGAGGCAACAACATTCGTGTCAAAACCATCTAATCATTCTTGTGTGTAGGGGAAGGTTCATGGCATACATTATTTAATTTTAATAATAGTGTGTTCTAAAATATTTTAATATCTAATATTTCTATGGGAACTCAAAACCATCGGACTCAAACCGCCTCGATTCTAAAGTCACTTTGAATATCCATTGCTGATGCTGGATCTCCCCAGCGGTCCATTCCAATCGAGTCAGTTCGAAGACCGAAAATAACTGAATCATTCTCATTATTAGTTAACATCCATTTATTGGTTTAATTAAAGATATTAGAAAGAAGCTAATCAACTGTTTAGTTACAACAGTAGCAAAGAAAATGTGATATTATATCACTGTTCAAATCCATTTAATGGTATGAAAGAAAAAGAAGTAAAGAAAGAGTGTGTGTGTCAGCCAATGAATCAAAGCGAACGAGATCTCGGTATCCATCAAATAGAAGGTGATGACTGGCAGTCGTCCCGGACGGTTAGGGCGCATTGTCACGCACGCGGCGGCGGGCGGCGGGACGGGCTTGATGGATGCCAGAGCCGTGTCCGTGCGTGTTGTTCGATATCGATATATTTTGCCTACACGGGAGCCCTTCTTTCTTATCACGTGTGTAGAATAATGCGAAATCGTCATTAATTTAATAGCGTTTATTAAACAGTTTTCACATAAAGGTAACATACAAAAAATTATTTCATAAATATATTATTAAATATGGATAGGCACTAAAATATTTAGTGATCAAATATTGCCACGCCTAATAACTTAATACAATTAGGTGAAACATACAACACAATTTAATTTAACAATATCGTGCACTTAAAACAAACTAAGTTAAAAATCACTGTAACGTTAAACTATAAAATCTCATTCAATTCGGATTTGTACTTGCAGAAAACATTAGGTCATAAACATCGGCAGTGTTTTCAAAACATAGAAACTGGCAAGGCAAGTAGTGCGTGCGTACTTTGAGAGTAGTGGTCAGTTTTATGTTTCTTTGTCACCGAACAGTTGACAGTTGACAGCGGCGCGGGCCGAGGGCGGGCGGGCGGACGGACGACCCGGGCGCGGGGACGACAGTGACGGTTAGTGGGGCGTTAGATGACAGCGGGCAACGCGCGGCCTGCGTGCGGTGGGTTAGAGCAACGGACTCGACGGAACTCCAATCTAAACTGGACAATACAAACATTACTCATGCTCGAGGACAAAGCTGAAGCGGGAACTCTTACGTCGTCGTTGTTTAATCGTTTTATATACACAGAAAGCAAACTCGAACACGGGTACCGATCGCAGACCGCTGAAGCCCACGCAAGTCCCAGTTCCGGCGATCACTTGACAACATACGTTCAGTGAAACGGAAAGTTCTTACTAGAACAAAGACTGAGATCATTTGCATAAGTTTCACAGGTCAGATCTCAACACAAAAAGCGTCGTGACTCAACAATTCTGAGGTTAATAAGGCCAAATAAATCATTAACTAGCGCAGGCTTAAAAATAGAGTATTGGGTGAAAAATACATTTTACAGTTCGTCGAAAGACGCATCTCGTTTTGCTATGTGTCTCTATGTCATGATTTAAACGATCAATAATTACAAAATTTAGTAAACATCGTAGCGGTAAAGCAAAACAAAACAGTCGTAGAATGTTTTGTGTCGTGTTAATCACATGTTACGTGTGTCCTGTCCATAAAGGTAGCTCCAGCTCGGCCCCTGGTGTCCTGCCGCGTGCCTGCTCGTGGTCGACTAGGACTATTTACACAAAAAGCTTAAATGTACAGCGTTGTTAGATGCGGAAATTCGCTCAAATAGTGCTACTGAGTTAAGTCGTCTATCGTTCTCGGTTGCAAGTATAGGTAATGTTAGAGTGCGCCCGGCGGTATCGAACGATCGCGCGGTCGAGGAGGGTCGTCAGCCGGTCGTCCAGACCGTGTGCCATAACACCACGACCGGGCCGGCGCGGTCTAGAAGCGGGCGAGAGTCATTACTGCGGAAACCGCTACGATTGTGTGAAGCCATCTAAAGTGTATTCGCTTGTCAACTTTCGAATTTGATAAATAGTAGTTTTCACCCGATCTCATAGAGGTATAGTGATGAAACAAAGAAACACTACATTAATGGATTAAAGTGCGCGACGCGAGCTCGCTGCCTGTATCTATGTCTTACTTTTGACGACTAGCTTTGCCGAGGTCTCGACTTGGCCGGCGGCGGTGGTGGCGCGGCAGGTGAACGTGCCGGTGTCCTCCTCGTACGTGTTGCCGATCAACAGCACGGCGTTGTTGCCCTCGTGGATCATCTGCGAAACAAAGGCATCGATTAGCTGTTAAACATTATGTAACTGTTGGAACGTGCTTATCTATCACTTAGTCAATCTTTTATACTACACTGCATGGACACTTATGTCGCTTTCAATCTTTTACTACACTAAATTACACACATTAGACCTATTATTTTACCATTCAACTATAAAGAAATTTAATTACCTGGAAATCAGGAGTTTCAGGGATCAAAGCTCCTTCACGCAGCCATTGGATCGTAGGCTTCACTTTGCTGGTAATGTGCGTCTTGAATTGAGCGGGTTGTCCTTCGTTGACGACGATATCGCGAAGAGGTGTCAGGGTGGGAAGGTTGTCAGCCTGGTCTGGTTGAGTCACTTTCAGCTTAGCAGCGACGGTCACTCTGCCCGCAGAGTTATACGCAACGCATTTGTAGTCACCCTCGTCTTCTGGGAAAGCCTCGGAAATGCGGAGAGTGTATTCGTCAGCAGTCCTTGACATTTGGAAGTATTTCGACGGCTTTATCAACTTATCTCCCTTGTACCATTGAACTGTAGGTGTCGGCTTGCCCACTATCTTGCAGCTGAATTCGATGGCTTGTCCTTCAGTAACGACCTTGTCTTTTAGAGGTTCGATGATTTCGGGAGGAGCGTTAGCAGCTTTGGCTTGAGGTTTAGGCTTCTCTTTGGTAGCAGGTGCGCTGACCACACACTCGGCGTCGCATCTTGCTTCTCCAGCACTGTTGATAGCCACGCACTCGTATTTGCCCGAATCTTGCGGGTACGCTTCCAGAATAAGAAGTGTGAAAGTACCATCTTCTTCTAAAATCTTGTTTCTAATGTCAGGTTGAACCTTTTTACCGTTTTTCAGCCAATACACATCAATAGGTTTGGTTCCAGTAACCTTAGTGTCAAATCTCACGAGCTGGCCAGCAGTCACGTTAACATTCTGTGCAGTCAACGTAAAACTGGGCGGTGTGACACCTCCTCTGCCTTGACGTCTACGCTCCTCCACTACTAAATTGGCGCTGCACTTTGCAGTACCACCTCTATTCTCAGCAACAGCAGCAAATACTGCAGAATCTTCAACAAACACCTGCCTTATAATCAGAACAGACTTTGTGCTGAACGTGTGAATTTGGAAATCAGGAGAGTTCTTGATCGGGAAGTTCTCACGATACCATTTAATGGTAGGTAATGGCTCACCGTCGAATTCTACTTCAAATCTGGCTTGCTCGTGTTCAAATGCTCGACATGGCTGCATTTTCTTAGTAAATACGGGGGGTTTGCTAGGCTTAACAGGTCCTTCGACAACTCTTTCGTGTGTTTGAGCTTTGTGCTCCACCTCAGTAGTCTCAGTGGATGTGATCTTTCGAGTAATCTCTGTATCGCCTACGACTTCTTTTTGTATTTGCTTCTGCTTGGCTACGTGCACTTCTTTACCATGTACAGTAGATTCAGATGGATCAGGAATCCTTGGTTTTTGAACGATCTTCTTCTGCACTTGTTGTTCAACGACCTCTTCAGTTTGTTCTCTGAAATAAGACACATATTTTAGACTAACTTTTGAAAAAGAGGCTGACAATAATGACTGAGTTTCTTGCGCTTCCTTTTCTCAGCACTGGTCCATTTATTGTCCCGAAGCTGTGGTAGGGTTAATATTGGGACGTGTAAAAGTGCTTTTTTAAAAGCCTATGCAAAATAAAATCAGTTTTAATGACTTTTGAGTTTTTTAATGACCTTCACCAGATCGCCGGTTCACCTAGTGTGGGGCCTGCACATGCTATTTGTATGTACTTTAGTTGACATTAAATAATAATATTATTATAAGAACAAAAGAAATGTATAATACTTACAAACTGTCCTCGTACTTCTGAGCCATACCCCTGGCCATGGAGTTACTTGCTATTTTTTCTCCAGGGATAGCATACTGATGAGTTGATTCTCTCATCCTGCTTTCTTTGATAACCTGTTCATTTTCTAATTCCTGGAGTTTGTTGTAATACTCTTCGCTCTTCTTCTTCTTAACAGTTTGTTGCCATTCAGTTTCTGGCTCCTTAATGACTTTAGGTTTCAGTTCTGGTCTATGGTCAATGACACCCTGTCGTTGCATAGTTTGCCTTTCCTCGAAGGTTTTTTCTAGTTCAGTTTCAGAGCGTTGGTGTTGTGTCGTCTCATCATACCAAGCTGTATGTAATCAAAATATAAGTTAGACAAATGAAAACTGTATCATCTAGTAAATACCTGAAGACATACCTTCTTAAGAATCCGATGCTAAGCCGGTAGAAGCAGGTGATTTAGCTGCAGATTTCTTTTGGGTTTAGAGGGAGGGATCATAGGAAAGCAAATGTTTATTTGTGCTTAAGCGGTTTGTTGGTGTGTGCGTGATATTGCTGAAGTGTGTTAGAGCAGCAGTGTCGACAAGCCAACTTATGGTATTAGATTTCAATAATATGCCAAACTGTGTATGTCATGTAGCGTGGTATAAATACTTCAATATTAAGTGATTTTTGTACAGTTGTAAAAAACACTCACGTCTCGGAGCATTCTTAAGGACTCCTCTGTAATCGTCGTGTCTCGGAATTACTTTTAATTCGGTCGTAGCCAAAGCCTCGCCAACGGAACTCCTAGCGATAACTTCAATCTTGCCAGTATCATATTGCCTGGTCTTAGGTATGTCAAAGTGGTACATTCCGTCGTATGTCAATTTATATCTGGAACCCTAAAAATAAAAGGTGAATAAGACTTTTGTTTTTCTTTTTTACAAACAATTAAGTAATAATAATTATGATTAACGTACGTTTACAATGGTGTTTCCATTAAGCAGCCACATTACACGCGGCTTGGGGTGGCCGGTGACACGGCATTGGAAGCGGGCCCATTCGCCTTCTTCTACTGTTACAGGGTCCGGTCGGCTCACGAAAACGGGCGCTGACCGAGCCTTAGTTTCATCCGGCATTGGTTCAGGGGCCCTTGAAATAAATAATGCAATTATTATACAATTATACTGCATCATTTTAACATAAATTTATAAAAAGCCGGTATGTATTTTAAATTACTAACGTTTGCCATGCTGCTTCCATTTCGCGAATCTTCTCGATACTCTTCATGTGTTTAGGCAGCTGAGAATCGTAAACGATGCCAGGCTTGCCGGCTGTTTTGATGATGGCCCGAGTTTCGTCCATGCCGTAAAGGTTTGTAGCGCGGCATACATATTCGCCGCTGTCCTCAGGGTATACCCATCCAAAGTTCATTGCCACGTAGCCAAAGTCGTAGATTGGAGTAAATCGGTTCTCTGCGAACATAATCGTAACAATTAATAGCTGAAACTTGTTTTTCATTGATTTACAATAATAATGTATTTATAGTATAACTTACTGTGCAGCAATGGTTTGCCATTAAAGAACCATTCCACTTTCATATTCGGGTCTCCGACGGGTGCCAATTGGCATTCGAACTTAGTTGACTCCATTTCAACAAGTGTTGTTTGGCTTTGAATTTGGGTAACAAATCTAGGTGGCTGCTTTTTGTCAACATCGTACAAATCATCTTCCGTCAAGAATATTTCCGAAGTGTATTTCTTGATTGTAGCCTCCATTTGAGTCAAAGCTTCTGACCTCTTCATTCCGCGTGGCACTTGGTTTTGTAAGATGATATCTGGCAATTCTGCAAGTATTAAGTAAATTTTTAGTACATATTTGTTATTATTCGTGAATAACTTAAAGTTCGATTGAAAAACACTTACGCTTGCAGGAAATAGTTCCCTTGGTAAAATCTTCACCGAAGTCGTTGACTGCTCTGCATACATATTCGCCGGAATCCTCCGCGTACACGTATAAAATATCTAAAGAAACGAAACCCATGTCGTAAACTGTACGGTATCTGTGTCCCGATGGTAACAGCTTTCCGTTACGGTACCACTCGACGCGAAGTTTTGGATCTTCCTTAGGTTCCACTCGGCACTCGAAACGAACGCCTTCTGATTCCTCGACAGTGTGCGACTGAATCTGTGTAATGAACTTGGGTGGCGTGCTGACCACAGGCTCTTCTTTAGGAGCGTCAGTAACACGTCCTCTTTCAAGCTCTTTGATCTTTTCGCCACTCATGCCTTGCGGAAGCTGGGATTCCAGTACAATATCGCGCTTTGCGCTGCAAGTGATCTTTGCTGTAGTAGTTGCCGAGCCCCACTTGTTCGTAGCGCGACAAGTGTACTCACCAGCGTCACGAGCGTAAATATAGTCAATGTCTAAGGCTATGAAACCAAAGTCATTAAGCATGTGTACACGAGATCCAGTCGCAAATGCCCTACCGTTGTAGAACCAATCGATCCTCATTGTTGGATCGCCAACTGGCTCGACACGACAGTCGAAGTGGATGGGGCCACCTTCTGGGACATCCAGATTGTCCTTGATTTCTACCGTGAATCGCGGAGGGTTTGGTTTTTCATCTTCTATTTGAATTTCCTCTCGTTTGTGTAATGTTTCCTCCAACTTTTGGATACTTTCAGTTCCTGATTTAAAGTGAGATGGTAGCTGAGGCTCCAAGATTATGCCTTGTCTGCCTTTCACTTGTAACTTGCAAGATACTGTAGCTTCACCATGACGGTTAGTAGCCTTGCAGGTGTATAAACCGGCATCACGTTGGTAAACACCGCCAATTTCTAATATGACAAATCCGAAGTCGTTAATGGTTTTGACTCTAGATCCAGTAAGAAGCGGTTTTCCATTATGGTACCACTCTACTCTCATGCTGGAGTCATTAACAGGGACTAGACGACACTCGAAGTGCGCCGATGAGTTCTCTGAGAGCACAAGATCAGAAGGAGTTGTGATGAATTCAGGAGGGTTACCACTCTCCGCTTCAGGTGTCATTGAGTCGACTGTGCCAGTGTAGCCTTCGAGAGCAGCAATTTTGTCAATTGTTCCTTCCATGCCCTTTGGTAGTTGAGATTCTAGAATAATATTGCGTTTGCCTTGCACCTTCATAGTTGCTGTAGTTACAGCTTCACCATAATTATTATAGGCGCGGCATAGGTATTCTCCCGAGTCTTCAGGATAGGTAGGAGATATTTCTAAAATAACAAATCCAAAATCGCAGAACGTTCTGAATCTAGATCCAGCCTTAAGTGACTTGCCATTCCAGTACCATTCCACCTGAAACAATAATTATTAAATTGGTATTTTATCTTAGTAGTCAATATTTTTTTTAATCAAAGCTTACTTACTTTAAGATTAGGGTCGTCTGTTGGTGTAAGTCGCGCCTCAAAGTGGGCATTTTCTCCTTCTCTTAGGTTGTCTATGTTTGACAGAGGAACTGTAAAGACAGGCGCTTTGCCCCTTTCTTCCTCAACCGTAGTATCTTTTCTGCGAATCATTGAATCCTCCAAGGTTTGAAGTTTTTCTAAACCACCTTCCATGCCCTGTAAAAATACATTTATTTATTTTGGTTTAACAGCTCATTTCATTGAATGTATCATGACAAAATATTATGCAATATTTCTAAGGCTGGTTTGCACCATCTTACTTTAACGTATAACAAATGTCAAAAGTATGTCACTGGTCATGATTATAGTTACGGTTAAATTAAGGTGGTGCAACTCATCCTAAGAAAGGTTTGTATTTAGTTAAAATCCTTACCCGCGGAAGTTGCGAGTCCAGGATCAAATTTTCCTTCGATGTACATTTGAGCGTAGCCTTTGTTGAGTCTCTGCCCAATTTGTTCGTAGCAACACATTCGTAAACACCAGAATTTTCTTCATAACAGTATAAGATATCCAATATGACAATTCCGAAATCATGGAAAGTCCTGTATCTATGTCCATGTGGTAACTTCTTGCCGTTGTAGAACCATTCTACTTTCAGATCTGGATCATCAACTGGTATTAGTCTAGCTTCAAAGTGTGCACTCTGACCTTCTACTAACTTTGTAACATCTTGTATTTGGGTCAAGAATTTTGGCGGTTCGGCAGATGCTGCTGATGGCGCCTGTTGCTGTGCCCCCTGCATGCTTTCTAATTCCCTAATCTTGGCCAGAGAGTCAGGCTGCAAGCTGTCCAAGTAGACTCCACTTCTGCCATAGCAGTTAATGGTAGCCTTAGTGAAATCTTCCCCGTATTTGTTATAAGCTCGGCATACATATTCTCCAGTATCATGGTTTTGCGTATAAGCAATGTCCATAACAACGAATCCAAAATCGGATACTGTTTTTATTCTTGTAGAGTGACGAAGTGGTTGGCCATTATGGTACCATTCAATCTTCATGTCTGGATCATCCACAGGTATAACTGTACATTCAAAGTGTGCGGATTGGCCATCCTTAAGACCTTCAATGCTTTGTATATGTGTAGTGAACTTCGGTTTTTGTCCTTTGCTCTTATCAACGCATTCAAGTTTTACGCTTATTTCAGCTTGGCCCCACCTATTTGTGGCCCTGCAGGAATAGGTTCCAGAATCAGTAGTCTTAGTGCCCAATATTTCAAGGACACACATACCAAACGCATACACTGTTCGGATGCGGTGACTTGCTTCAATTGTCTTGCCGTTATAGAACCATTCAATTACCATACTTTGGTCACCTGTTGGTATCAGTGATGCTTCATAATGAGCAATTTGTCCTTCGCTGATATCAACAATGTCTTTAAAGACAGTTGTAAACTCAGGTGCTCTTCCTGTGTCATCGTCGGGTTTCTGACCAGGCTCACGACGCAAAGAATCTTCCAGATTTTGAATCTTTTCCAATCCTTCAGTTCCTTTAGGATGTTGAGTCCTTTCTATTAGATTTTCCTTACTAGTGCAATAAACAGTCGAAGATGTAAAGGCCTCACCTCTCTTGTTGTAAGCTTTGCAAGTGTAAATTCCACTGTCTCTTTCATACACGTCTGTTAAGTCTAATGTCACAAAACCGAAGTCGCTGGTAAGTTTGAATCTCGAAGCTTGTTCCAGTATTTTACCATTGAAGTACCATTCAATCTTTAGGTCAGGATCGTTCTTAGGTTCTACTTGGCCCTCCAAGTGAAGCGCTTGACCTTCTATTAATTGATGTTCGGCTGAAATTGGGACAACCCATTCAGGTTTGGGATATTCAGTATCAGGTACTGACGTTCTTCTACCTTTAGAAAGCCTTGCTTCTTCAGCTTGTTCAACGGCTTCCAAACCAGCTTTTCCTTGTGGGTGCTGGGTATCAAAGAAAATATTTTTGTCCCCTGTGCATCTTAGGGAGCCTGAAGTGGTAGCGGATCCTTTGTTATTTGTAGCTTTGCAAGTGTAAATACCTGAGTCTTCTTCATATGTATGAGTAATATCCAAAGACACGTAACTAAAATCATGTGTGCTCTTGTACCTAGTACCTGAAGGTAGGGGCTTATTATTAAAGAACCATTCGATCTTAAGGGTGGGGTCTCGAGATGGTTCAACGTTGCACTCGAAGTGAATATTGTCACCCTCTTTGCACAAAATATTATTCAAATGAGATATAAATACTGGGATTTCGTAGTTAGGTTCAGGTGATTCTGGTTTTGCAGATTTAGGTTGCTCAAGGGCACCGATCCTATCCAAGGATTCAGGATGAAGTGATTCGCCAAGAAGCCAGTGACGATCTTCAATCTTAATCGAAGCTGTAGATACAGCCTCACCCATCAAATTGGTAGCTTTACATGTGTAAATGCCAGAATCATCGATTCTCAAGCCATTGATAGACAGTGTAACCAATCCAAAGTCGAAAGTACTCTTTAATCTCGATCCCGTTGTCAGAGATACACCGTTCTTGAACCATTCAATCCTTAGGTTTGGATCAGTTCTCGGTTCTACCTGAGCTTCGAGGTAGACATGTTGGCCTTCCACAAGTTTGTCGTAGCTCTTGAGGTGAGTAGTGAAAATAGGAGCTTGCTGGACTCCAGTGTCCACAAACATTTCAGGTACTCTATTCATCGCAGCTTCTTTTAGCTGAATCTGTTCCCAGGACTCTGGACGCATGGCTTGATCTACTATAGTTGATTTAGTCTTCACCTTCAAAGAAGTAGAGGAAACTGTACTACCTGCCCTGTTGATAGCCTTGCACATATACAATCCGGCATCATTTGCGACCACAGAGTTGATATCCAAAGTAACGAATCCGAAATCGTGTGTAGTGCGGAATCTTGATCCTATAACATACAAATATTTTCAATTAATTCTAACTATCAAACTAGCTTGCGACATGCGCATAGTCCAGTTTATAAATTATTACTGTATTTATAACAAGAGAATGAAAGATTTTTTATTATTAAAAAATGATTGATTTATGTAGTTGTAATTAGTGTTATTAATAACCCCTATGAACATAGGTAATACTTTGATATTAAATGTTGTTTATTATTTAATTGTTACAGAATACAGGGACAATACATTGTGATAACGGTACATACCCATTTTCAGTTCTACGCCATTGATGTACCATTCAAATCGGAGACTAGGGTCGCCGACGGGTACAACACGTGCTTCATAATGGGCGTGTTGACCCTCCCATAGTTCGGAAGGTCCTGTCAAAACCTGAGTGAAAATGGGCTTCTCAAACTCTCGGTCAGGCTCGTCAGCTCTCCTGGGGTGAGGCTGTTCCAATTGTTGTATCTTCTTCATGCCTTCTGGATGCTGTGTGTCCAGTTGTATAGCTGCTTTGGCTGTTAACAATATACATTGATTTTATCAGTTACTGTCTTTTTGGTTTTAGGACGTACCTACAAACATACGAATAGGTGAAATGAAAAGTATGATTTTTAAAATTGCGATCACCATATTTTTCTGTGAAATCTTAACTGATTCATAAAGAAAAAAAAGAATGATGAAACAAATTTTGAAACTCACTTCCAGTGTAATTTATGAAAAAGTTTATACATAATTTATCTACTTGAAAATAAACTAATTCGTCTATAAATAATCAAATAATCGTATTACCTATAACTAAGACAGTAAATGATTTATTGATTGATTGCAATACTTACTTCTGATTCGCATAGCAGCTGTCGTTACTGCTTCACCTAGTAAATTAGATGCTCTGCACATGTAGACGCCTTCATCTTCATCGCGTACGTGAGTTATTGTCATAGACACATAGCCGAAGTCGTGAGTCTTCGTAATTCTAGAACTATCTTCAATGAGTTTCTCATTTCTGAACCATTCCACTTTGAGTGTGGGGTCGCCAACAGGAATTAGTCTGCAGTCAAAGTGCGCTGTTTGTCCTTCTTGAATGTTGTCGATGTTCTGTAGAGGCTGTGTGAAGACAGGCCTCTGCCTTGTTACTGGTTCCGGGATTTCAGGCCGCTTAAATGGTTCTGCTGATTCTAGCTCTCGGATCTTCTCCAAGCCTTCGGGACGTTGAGATTCCGATAAAATACTACCTTTTGCGGTTACTGTCATGGATATCGAGGAAGTGCATTGTCCAAGGGCGTTGATTGCCTTCACTGAGTATTCGCCAGCATCTTCAGGGACACAGTGTTGAATATCCAATGACACGTAACCAAAATCAAAAGTGATATGGAACCGTGAGGCAGATTGCAGGGCTTTACCGTTGTGATAAAATTCAATGCGCAAATTAGGATCATGTACAGGTTCAACCTGGCATTCGAAGTGAGCTGTTTTACCCTCGAAAACATGTGTTGTTCCTCTAAGTTCAGTAACAAATCGTGGTGGGCTAATTTTGGGCTCCTCCACTTCTAATCTTGTGTGGTGACCTTGTGCTTCGAGCTGTCTAATTTTCTCAAGACCATTTGGATGTTGAGTATCCAAAATAATACTCCTGTGCCCTAAAAATAAAATAATCGGTAAGTATCGGTAATATCCCTTAGTTTGGTAATTATAATAACTATAAATTAATTGAGACACTAACCTGCAACCTTCAACGTGCATGTGTTGACTGCTTCACCGAGCTTGTTTGTTGCTTTACACATGTAAGTTCCAGAATCCTCAGAATAAGTGTACAGAATATCTAACGCGACGTAACCAAAGTCATGTGTCGTTCTGTACCTGTGACCGGCTCTAATCTTTTGCCCATTGAGGAACCATTCCAGTTTTAAGTCAGGATCATTTATAGGTTCTACTCTGCATTCAAAGTGGGCATGATCTCCTTCTTTGAGGTTCTCAAGGCTAGTAAGAGCTGTCAAGAAGACAGGCTTTTGCCCCGGTTTCTCTTCTTCTACAGCTTTAGGTCTTTCATATCTTTCTAGTTCTTGAATCTTCTTCAATCGTTGTTCATCAAGTGTATCCAGATATAATCCGGATTTGGCTGAAATAAATACATCATGTGAAGTTATTACATGTACTAGATATTTTTAATCTATATTGATCAATTAATTACTATTTTCGTCTTACCGTCTACTTTTACAGAGCTGGTGGTTACAGCTTCACCAACGGCATTAGTAGCCTTACACATGTAGGTGCCAGTATCTTCACCATAAGCATACAGAATATCTAATGCAACGTAACCAAAGTCATAAGTTGTCTTGAAACGATGACCTTGTTGAACTGGTCTGCCGTTACAGTACCATTCAACGCGCATCGTAGGGTCATTGACAGGGGTGAGCGTAGCTTCCAAATGTACCGGCTGGCCCTCAGCTACTTGTGCATTCTTCAGGGGCTTGCCAAACTGTGGCTTTTCGGCGATAAAGCTCTCGTCACGAACCACTCGTTTGTATCTGCTGTCATCTTCAAGGTACTGAATTTTTTCAAGTGCGCTCTCATGTTGAGTGTCTCTAATGATAGATTCCTTGGCTGAAAAACGTAATGGATATTTTCATTATACTTTCTGCTAATAACAAAATCTTAATTATAATATTTAATTAATATCGAAACACTTACATTGAACGTTTAATTTAATAGAAGACATAGCCTGGCCCAGATTGTTAATAACCTTGCATGTGTATTCACCAGAGTCTTCGCCGTATACTGTCAGTATATCAAGAGCAGCAAATCCGAAATCGTAAGCAGTGCGGTACCTGTGACCACTCTGCAGGACCTTCCCGTTAAAATACCACTCAACTCGCATGTTCGGGTCAGGGTAAGGCTCAATGCGGCACTCATAGTGAGCGCTCTGGCCTTCAACAAGTCTAGAAGGACCATTCAGTTGAGTGATGAACCTAGGTGCCTGGTTAACGGCTATCTCGACATCTTCTCTACGTTGATAGCGAGAGGAGTCTTCGAGCTGCTGTATTTTCTCCAGAGCACTCTCATGCTGAGATTCCAATTGCAGAGAGGCTTTAGCTGCGTTGAAAATAAAGTGGTTTAAATTAAAAGTGATATTCAACATTATTATATTGCATTCTGTCCATCAAATTGGTGCGATGCTGCAATACTTACATTGAACAAATAATGTTGATGACGTCACAGCCTCTCCCAGTTCATTGATAGCACGGCACGTGTAGGTTCCGGAATCCTCTGGGTTCACATACTTCATATTAAGTGCGACATATCCGAAATCGTGCATGGTGGTTAAACGGTTAGCTGAAAAAATATTTAACGATTTATGAAGTTTGAGTTTCATTGATCAATAAACCTAATTTATCTAAATAAGTAATACTTACATGCTTCAATGGGTACACCGTTTCGGAGCCATTCTACCCGTAATTTAGGATCTCCAACGGGAATAAGTCTAGCTTCAAAGTGAGCTGCCTGGTTTTCAGCCACCTTAATGTCTTTCATTGGCATAGTGAATACTGGTGCTTGAGTGGTGAACTCTTCTTGTGCACTATGACGTTGATATCTCGATGTATCTTCCAGCTGATTCAATCTTGGCAATGCACCTTCGTGCTGCGATTCCAAATAAATTGATTTCTTAGAATGGACTATAGCGATTCCAGAAGTGACTGCTTCCCCAAGAGCGTTAATAGCCCTACAAGTGTATGTACCTGAGTCTTCAGGCAAACACGACATAATATCCAGAGCCACAAACCCGAAATTATTAGTTTCGGTGAACCTTGAACCGCTTTTTAGTGGTTTGTTATTGTGATACCACTCTACTTTCATAGTCGGGTCTGATACTGGGATCAATCTGCACTCGAAGTGGGCGCGTTGACCTTCTTTGATTTCAATATTCTTTAAGGAAGTTGTGAAAATTGGCGCTTGTGTTGTGATTTCATCCATGACATCTGATCTGTGGTATCTGGATCTGTCCTCGAGAACCTGGATCTGTTCTAAGCCAGCCTCATTTTGAGTAGCTCTTATTATATCTGCAGTCCCACGACACGTCAACCTGCAGCTTACCTCGTCACTGCCTACTAAGTTGACAGCTCTACATGTGTAAATTCCAGAATCTTCTGCAATCAGATCAATAATATCTAACGCTACATAGCCGAAATCATGGATAGGCCTAAACCTATGCCCGATAGTCACTGGTTTACCATTTTTGAACCACTCTACCTTTAGATTTGAGTCTGTAACTGGTTCCAGCTTGCACTCGAAATGGACGTGATGTCCTTCGACCACATTTTCAATTGATTTGGGTTTAGTTACAAAGTGAGGTTTAATGTTTATGGATTCATCAATAACCTCAGATTTCTTGTAACGTGAAGTATCTTCTAAGTATTGAATTTTCTCAAGACCCGATGGATGTTGAGAGTCAAATATCAAATCTTTCTTGGCAATCACACGTAATGCGCAAGATGTGACTGCTTCGCCGAGTTGATTAGTGGCCTGGCACGTGTATACACCGGAATCTTCTGGGTACACGCTTAAGAGATCAAGCGCTACATAATCAAACTCGTAAGCTGGTCTGAACCTGTGACCAGTCTTAATAGGTCTGCCGTTGCAGAACCACTCTACTCGCATGGTTTGATCGCCCACTGGCTGCAGTCTACATTCCAAATGCACGTTGGTGCCTTCAACTGTTTCAATGTTATGTAACGCTCTAGAGAATTGAGGTGCTTGCATGACGGTGATGTCCTCCTGAACTTGTCGGTTTCTCCTTGCAGCATCTTCCAGCATTTGAATTTGTTCGACGGCTTGTTCATTCTGTGTGTCGGTCACAATATCCGATCTTTCAATGACTCGGACCATAGCTGAAGTGTGGGCTGAACCAAGATGGTTCACAGCCCTTACTGTGTACTCGCCGGTATCTACAGATGTTGCGTGAATTATGTCCAGTGCTACGAAACCAAAGTCGTAGTACGTTCTAAATCGAGAGCCGACTGTTACAGCGCGACCATTGTGGAACCATTCCACTCTCATTGTTGGGTCACCCATAGGCTCGAGACGGCACTCAAGATGAATATTTTTTCCCTCAGATACTGGCTTTGGATCAGTCAGAGGTTGCACAAATACTGGTTTCGATTTCGAAATTTCTTCAATTACGTACATAGGCTCCACGAATTTTGATTCTTCCATTTGCCTTGTTTTCTCGTATAAGCCTCTGTGAATGCTGGAAGTGTCGATGCTTGAGCGGGCTGAAATAAAATGAACACTAATTTATTATTATGCTATCAAAATAAATTTTTGTCATATTTTCTATAATTAAATAAAAATTATAACTGTCATATTTATTTTCTTTACAAAGGTTACATCAGTGTATTTCTAAGCGTATGCGGACATTTATTAAATAATGTTATAGAAGTACTTACTTTCAACGGTCATAGAAGCGCTGAGTTGCGCTTCTCCAGCTGCATTACGAGCGACTACAGTGTAGACACCGGAGTCTTCTGCGCGGACACTAGAGATATCCAACGCAACGTATCCAAAATCGTGATATGTTTGTATGCGATTGGCAGACTTAATCTGCTTACCATTAAAATACCACTCCACAGTCATTGTTAAGTCGCTCTGAGGCTCTACTCTGGCTTCAAAGTGAGCACCCTGGCCTTCGACAATCTTATTTGTTCCCTTTAATGGTCCCAAGAAACGAGGCTTTTGAGTTACTTTAACTTCCTCCTCAGACCGCCTCATGTATCTGCTTGAATCTTCAAGATGCTGAATCTTTTCAAGTCCGCCAGGATGCTGAGATTCAGCAATTATATCTTTCTTTGTAACAATTGTTAATTTGGCGCTTGTAGTAGCTTGTCCAAGAGCGTTGTAAGCTCGGCAAGTGTAGTGGCCGACGTCATGGACGGTTACTGACTTAATTGTTAATGCTACATATCCGAAATTGAAAAATGTAGTTATTCTAGAACTCGCCTCAACTGGGCGTCCATCCTTCAACCATTCTACTTTCAAAGTTGAATCTCCGACAGGTTCAAGACGTGCTTCGAAGTGCGCGAAGCCTCCTTCTTTAATATTAATTTGATCCCTGATCGGAGTCTTGAACTCTGGTTTTTGAGTGCTTTCAGGAACTTCCTGATAGTATTTTTGGTGTTGTTGTTGCTGGTAGGCTTCTAACTGCTCAGTCTTTTCGATGTATCGTCGCTGTTCAGGTATTCCGAGGTCAGCAGTCACAGTACTTCTAGCTGCTACTCTAATAGACGCCGTACTGACAGCTTCGCCCAGTTTGTTTACAGCCCTCACTGTGTACGAACCTGCATCTTCAGCCCGTAGGTGCATGATGTTTAGGGAGACGTAACCGAAGTTGAAGATTGACGTGATTCGCGAGCTGGCTGTAATGGGTCTGCCATCCTTGTACCACTCGACTCTCATTGTAGGGTCGCTCACAGGCGTGAGCTGTCCCTCGAAATGAGCGTTCCTTCCTTCTTGAAGTTCGCCGAGTTCTTGTAAGGGCCTGATAAATTGTGGCCTTTGTGAAGTTTGTTCCTCTATTGATTCTTGGTGTTGGTACCTAGAGTAGTCTTCAAGCTGTTGAATGTACTGCAAACTCTCTGGGTGTTGGCTCGTCCTTTCGATCGTAGCGCGCGGTGTAACTTGTAAGAAAGCTTTGGTCTCGGCAACGCCGGTCGCGCTTATAGCACGGCAAGTGTACTCGCCGCTATCTTGAATGTTGAGACTGAGCATGTCGAGAGAAATGTAACCAAATCGGAATATTGACGTGAACCTTGAACCTGAAACAAGTATCCGTAGTTCATTTTATCAAATATACAAGAGCTAAATTCATTTCAAGATTTTCTACGTATTAAATGTAGTTTAGTTCCTGTTATTGATTTACATTAGGTGTTGTAAATGACGACCTGTAGGTCGCCACCAACCGGCCATTGTGGAAATCATTGGGGGAGACCTATATTCAGCTGTGAATGTCCTATGGCTGAAAATGAATGAATGAAATGTTGTAAATGAGTTACACTTACTGGCTTCGATACTCTGTCCGTTCTTCAGCCATTCTATCTTCATCGTTGGATCGCCAACGGGTTCTATCCTCGTCTCAAAGTGAATTTTGCCACCCTCCATCTGCGTGACGCTTTTGAGTGGCACAATAAACTGTGGCGGAGGATAGACGCGATCCTCCTCGCCCGGAGGAATGTAAGGTCTTGCTCTTTCCACGTGCCTCAAATATATGATTTCTGGTCCAGGAGCTGGCCTGCAACATGCAACGTATGGAACGCTTGACTAAGCATGTAACATTTTATAAACGCAAAATATGCATTATCTTAAGCATGCATAAATATGAATAAAATAATGTATATTCTGTATTTATAGACGCTATTATTAACAATGTATATTAATATCTGAGTAGAAATCGATGTTTTCTGAATATTTTTCGAATCATTAAACAAACATTATAGTATATGAGAAAATTGTATTAGTATTTATTTTATTACCAGCTGATTTAGCGAATTTAGTGCCGCCTGTGTTCATTAGAAATAACGTAGGATCGTAATGTTGAAAGAATATTTCAAATTGATCCTGACAAACAAACAAACAATAAAATCTTTCCTCTTTGTCCAGTCAAAAGTGGTTTTGACCAAGGGTGTTAGTTTAAACCACTTTTGACTACAAGAAATCAGTCAAAAGTGCTTTCGCCTCATTTAAAATTTCATACAAAGTTATGATTTTACTTATATTTTGTCTAACAAATACCTAGATTTCTTAAAAATATGATAAAAGATAAAAAGCAACATTACTGTGGTATCTAAGGTAGGTAGGTGTGACCACGTTGTATGCACAAATCATATCAAAATTAGACTTTAAAATAGTTTTTTATCACATTTTTGATGATTTCCAAGTAATTTTCACATATCAAACACTTTGTTTGAATTTAGACTGATTTTTGCAGCTAAAAGTGGTTTTGACTGAGTATGAGTTTTGACTGCAACATATTTATTTAGGGATTAATAAGTATAGATAATTAAACTCACTCTGGCTCAATGATTTTCGTAGGCCGCGGTAAGTGAAGACGCTTCTGTTCAGGCGGCGGCTCTTTCGGCACTTCAACGTAGAGCCTCGCCCGAGTGGCGGTGGAGCCTGCGACGTTCTGGGCGGTGCACTGGTACCATGCCGCGTCCGACGCCTTGGCTCGAGGGATGTCCAGCGTCGAGGCCCCACCATCGGTGTTGATTCGTAACTCTGGATTGGGTATAATCGGAACGCCGTCCTTCTGCCATGTGATCCGTGGCGTAGGGGTGCCGACTGCGCGCGCTCTCAGCACGACGGACTCACCTTCCCGCACGTTCATCGTGCTGAAGCGCTCTACGAACTTCGGAGCTACTACTTGCTCCTTCTCGATAACGTTCAGTCTGCATTGGAAAGACGTTTCTCCAGTCTTGTTGCGCGCAATGCACGTCACTACGCCACTGTCACTGAGTTCGACGTTTGTAATCATAAGTGCATGATTACCAGATTCGTTTACTAATATCTTATGATTATAATCGTCTCGAATTTGTCTATCGTTAATGAACCACGTGACTTCTGGGTAAGGTCTGCCTGTGACGCGGCAATCGAATCGCGTCATTTTGCCTTCCGTGACATCTCGGTCTTGGCAGACTCTTACAAATTGCGGAGCAAGAGCTTTTTCACTAATTTCTACTCTTTCTTCGATCCCTGTCTGCTGGCTATCCATAATGTATTGAGATTTGTGATCCTGTACATAAGTTTCTTGAGGAGATTCTACAGCTAGATACGCCGAAGTGACAACGCATCCGTTAGGGTTCTCGGCCAGTAATGTGTAGTGGCCATTATCAGACTTTTGTGTGTTTCTTACCCTAAGTGTCGTATGATTCTGTGTCGTTACGATTTCGTGCTTGTTCGAATTGACTATCCTCTGCCCGTTCTTGAACCACGTTACTCGCGGCCTGGGGTTGCCCGATAATTGCACTTGGAATTGAGCGTCTGCTCCCTCCTGTAATTTGGAATTCCTTGGTTTCTGTGCAATTTTCGGTGGAGACACACCACCAAGTGATTTATCGATTTCTGTGCTAATGTGAATGTCGGTTTCTCCTACGTATCTTTTCGTGATAGTTTCTCTGAAGGAGACCTCCCTCAAGAGTCTGTATTCGAATGTGTCTACTTTGAAATCCTCGGTGGAGGAGTAGTCGGATCCGTTGGTGTAGGCTACTTTCTGTGTCTGTCGTGTCTGTTCCGAGCTGTAGCCCTGGGTGCCGTAGGATTTGTGCTCGACGCTCTCACTGACGTGGCGATAGCTCTGGTGCTGCTGCGAGGTTTGATGTGCGGGGACGGGCACGCCCTCGGGCTGGATGTACACGGAGCAGATGGCCTCTCCGTACTGGTTGCGGGCCGTGCAGGTGTACTCGCCCTCGTCGCCAGGCCCGATCTGCTTGATGAGCAGCGACACGTCGCCGGTCTGCTCGTTGTAGCTCATGCTGTACTTGTTGCACTCTACCAGCGGGGCCTTCTTTCTGGTCCACGAGACGACGGGCGTGGGGTTTCCGCGAAGTTTCCCCTCGAACTTAGCATTGCCGCCTTGCGCAAATCTCGCATTCTTAAAGATTTGCTCGAATATCGGCGGCGAGGGATCGCCGGGCCTGCCCGATGCGATAGCCAGACGGTCGCCCCCGGTGCTTTCCACTGTAACAATAGGGAAACTCTTATTAGAAACTAATATCAATGGTCTAATCTTTTTTAAAGTATTAGGTAAATATATGAATGATTAAATAAACTAAGTAAGTACACATTCTTTTATAATAAGCAAATTTTCTTTTTACTTTCTATTTAAAACTTCGCAGAGCATAAACTAATAAATACTTAATACAAAATTATGGAATTAATCAAATAAAACTAGGTAATTACTTTTGAATTAATGCTCCGCTGTGCTCTCGCAGTAAATAACTTTCAAGAAATGACACCGGTGAAAGAATCCGGCTAAAATATATGCAGGTCCGTTCTAATTATAACAATTTTGTAATCCACGCGAGCGTTGAAATGCATCAGTGAATCATGCGTGTATGCGGCTGCGGGCGAGTTGCTACTATAAATAGACCTAGTAGCCTCACTTGCCGAGTACCAAATGCGTCGACAACATCATCACTGGCTTACATCAGCTCATATCTGGACATGATTACGTGTCCATGCTTCCAATTTATCTCATCTTCAACCCCTACTCATTATAACTTAGTGATGTGACTAAACAAGCCAAATAAAGGCTCGAATTTAGTTCTGTAATTGCGTTCTAGAACTTTGAAATAGTTGAATATGAATAGGATCGACTTTCAACTACAGTATAAGTTGAGAAATTGTTAGAAAATCATTTACCTAGATTTGGGTGCTATGAGTACCTATGTAGTTATTCTAAGTAGTATTAGACTATTAGCATAATGATAATTTTTTTATCAACGTAGATGATGGAGCATTTGTCGGGCCTCGGGCGGCCCTTCTGACGCCGCATGGGTTGGCTCGTCTGTGCACTCCAGCCTGAGTCACGCGGGATGATCGGCTATTTCGAGCGCACACTCTGGATCTTGTTACGACCGCCTTTTACGTTAACTGCCCTGTTTCATTGCGGTAAACACGCTACTTAAACTTGTTCATGTTACCGAAGGTCGTGAAAATTGTTATGAGCTAGAGAGAATTGTCGTAAGCTCAAGCTTTCTTTCAATTATTGCACAAATGTACAGATTAAACCAGTTTCCTAGTCTTTGTTTATAATTAATGTAACGTGACTTACTATTTATTCAGCTTTACAGCGTCCTCTAATGTAGGTATACCTTTATTTCACACAAGTTCTACTTTAGAAAAGAGAAATGCCTTAGAATAAAATGTAAACATTCAAATGTTTTATCAATTGTCAGTAAAAGTCTGAAGCTTTATGGAAATTAGATATAATTTACAAGATACAACATAAAGTGCGAGCAGGCCATTTATATTAAATATTGGGCTTACACGAAAAAATACTTGAAGAGTCTTAGTAAACCATTGAGAAATTTCAAGCGCAAAGCAGCAAGCAGGCAGCAGGCCGCGACCGGCCTTGCAGACCAGTTTCGCAGCTACTAGCTGCCCTGTAAGGGCAACTATTCACCGGTTTCTGAATTAAAGAAGTGCAGTTTGCATTGGTTGCGAGCCCAACCGTACATCTACATCCCTCTTAGAACGTTTACTGGATCATCATAAAAGCAGCTACGTTATGTATGTTGGAAAATTATAGTGAAAACAATGAACCCATCCAACTATGCGTAGGTATTTTCGTTTAAATATGTGTGAATGTGCATTCCTACATTTACTACAATTTCTCATTGGTTGAGTCAATGATGATGAGTCAATGTAGTATTTATTTATCAATGTAAATAGACTTATCCATACAAGAATGTATTAAACGCAAGCCTAGCTTTGGGCAGTTGTTAAATTAGTCCAAATTCAAGGTCGTAATCAAAGTACCAATGACTCGTCATCAGTCCCAAGGTTTCGAGTTTTTGGGTCAAGGTCACTGGGAATGATTAAACATTTCACGCGTGTCCCTGGTCATTTCTGACGTTTAAGATTCAATAGACATCTTATTCTTTTGTTCACATTAGATTCATGGATTATGAACAAGCGCTGTGCCCGCGATTTCGTAACGCGTTTGTATATTTTTTCCCGTTATCGCAACATTTTTGGTTGATGCTTTGCTTATAGCCTTCCTCTATAAATGGGCTATCCAACACAAAAAGAATTTCTCAAATTAGACCAAACAAACAAACTCTCCAGCTTTATAACCTTAGTAGAAAATTTAATAAAAAGATTAATATTCATTGCAACCAAATAAAATTTTACAATTTTTTGGGGAAATCCTCTCATTAAGTTTGTAAAAACCTGTATTTAGAGGAATCCGCTCGATTGTTAATACATTTACTCAAATTTATTCGTCTTAATTTATGCAAGCATCCATTATTATAACCACAGCAAAAACATTACACATTATGTTCTCACAATACCAAATAAATACCGAATGCGCTTTTTAGTGACCAATATTTCAAGAGTTACTCTCCCTCAAGGCCCTCAACCATAATACACACAACTTACTCTAAAAATATAGGCCAACCAGTTTTTAAGCAGTTACATCACTTCGTGTGAACTTTTTAAAAATCGACACTAATCTACACCTCTATACTAATATTATAAATGCGAAAGTAACTTGTCAGTAATATGCACTTAAGTCGAAGATATAAATCAAACAAAGTGCACCTCACGTGGAGTATGTAATAAACTGTCATAAATGTAACGCATGGACGATGCGCGCACGCATGATATACTCCATTCAGCGTTAGGTGATTTAGTTATACAGTTCCATTTTGACATTAATTGTGAGGCGCTCCTTTTAAACCTAATCGATATTTTTTATAATCGAGAATATTTTCTTTAGAAATCTAATAGACTTTCTGGATATTAAATTAATGTGAATATTGTTTGTGGTACACTAAATCACAAAGAATCAAATATATGCATTTTATTCAATAATAAACAACATGTGGAGAAATCGCATAAAACACAACCGGCATACAAGGGAAACGCACACGTTCTGAATGGCCTTTGACCTGCCTGAGATAATAATCGTAATTCGATGGTAAGATCGCCGCCATACCAATTACTGATTTATTGCGATTGTTCATGTCAATCCGTATGATGAGCAAAAGTTCCTATTAACGCAATAAAGTTCCTATTAATAAAATACTCGTAATAACTATTGAATTATATTAAATTCTTGACTAGGTTAGCTGAGAAAGAATAATAATTGTTATTTTGGAAGAATGAAAACACAAAAAAGTGGTACGCTGAATGTATTATAGTAACTATACTTACGAGCAAAAGTATGGAATCACCCCTTTATGTTCCGAGCGGTCTTAAGAACTGAATGACTATGTATTGTATGTATCTATGGTATCAATTTTAAGTTTATAATATCTCCTTTAAAATGGTACCATTTTTATTGATCTTCTATTAGTCAATTAGTTCTTATGATCGCTCGGAATAAATAGGGTGATTCCATATTTTTGCTCGCGAGTGTACATATTCGCAAATGAATGTTGGACTGGACGCAATGTTTTGGCGCCCGACCAACACACGGCCTGTCAACTGTTACTACAAGTGCTCATGGAGCTTTAATTAGTAGTAAAAGTAGATTCTTGAACAGTAAAGTCCACAAATACTATGTACTGCTAATATATTTATGTATTCAATTAATCTCATTTTAGGTAAACTCAACATAATTATGTTTATGACCAATATAGGCAAAAATCAATAACAATAGATTTCTATTTCATTGCTATTATTGTACATTTGTACAAAATTAAGTAATAAAAAATATTACAATTGATTTAAGTAGTATCGACTTTAACAAAAATTTCAAGCCAATTAGCAAATTAATCTTTACAACACATTCCAGTGGTATATTCGGTGGTTAATTTAATAGCTCGTGTTTTAACCACTAAATATTAAATATAACAGTGTTATACGAGTATACATATATCTTCAGTCAATTTTAGTAGTCCGATTTACATGACTACAGCTGAAAATCACGCAAATGGAACGTGTTGTACAAATGTTGGTTTTGAGCATGAAATTGAATATCAAAGCATTCGTGGAACTGTTAGCGACTGGGTGCACCTAACGTTTATTAGCATTTTCAAAACAACACATAAATGTACCTAATTTGACTGTACCTACATTTTAGAATAATATCGCGTGACTTTCATAGGAAAATTTAACAGATGTTAAAATTTACATTTATACATAACTGGCGGCCGCCCGCGACTTCGTACGCGTGGATCCCGTTTTACCCCCTTAGGGGTGGAGTTTTGTAAAATCCTTTCTTAGCAGATGCCTACGTCATAACGAACAACCGAAATCATTTGTTAGCTTTTTTACCTTAATCATAAATTCCTTGTAGGTAGCTATTAGCCGAATCGCATTACACGTGACCATAAAAATGGTCTGTCTAAGAACACATACCATTTTTATTACCTGGGTACTTCAATCTGATTTTAGATACTATCTTAGAGAGAGATCTGTGAAGGTGAAGTTAGACTCTGCTACTTTACGGACTCATCCATCTAAATTACAGAAGTAAGTAGTACCGAACAGAATGCGGTGGAGGTGTAAAACCGCAGATTGCACGATACCTCCTTGTATCGATTCCTGGGTTGACCCCTCCCGTTCGGGAAACTCAATACTTCGTCATACTGACTGACGGGTTTCACTTAATTAATAATTAATACGAACCCGCTGTTAATACCGCACGGTAGCCGCGTAATTGGAATCTGACGCGTATTTTACGATTGTACTGTTTAGTGCTCGCTGGCGGAGAGTGGAGGCTGGAGGCAATCAATCAACGCATGAACAGTAGATGACATTCATCGCTCGCGGAGCTGGCTGCGGTGCTCAAACCAAGACGCTGGTTCCACGTTGCAAATGCAAACTACACACGAAGCCTACAAGGCGTCGAGACAAATAATACTATTGTATTACTGTAAACAGCAGGTTACATTTGAGTAGGTGTATTGTCCCTATTTTGGAAAAACTCGCTCCATATGATCAAAGTGCTTTAAGATCGCTGCGCTAGTATAGTAGTCTCAGTTACTCGTACTTTCATCTTACAT